CATCCTGCGGTTTATTTGCTTGGCCATCAAACACAGCAACTGTGGTTGATTAACATGGGTTTATTATGCAAGTATAAATTCAGTCAGCATTTATGCAGGGAAAGAGAACAATGCCCTACTGATACGGCTGATTCTGTGCATTGCAAAAGCGTACAAAGGACGGAGCCAAGCATTTCTTCCACAGCCTACATAGATGAATGAGTGGGTGTGACACACTTAGCAGCAATGAAACCCTCAGCGTTGTGGATGGCAGAGTTTGAGTTTCGCAAGTATACGAGTCAGTGACTTTCAGTCTTCCCAGGCATAAAGCAAGGCCAGCGTTCTTCCTGGAATATCTTATCTAGCAAAGAAATGTGCAGGCTAGAATGTAGTCAGGCAAGTAGGCCAGGGTGGATGGGCATAAACCATTAGCACGAGATGAGGCAATCTTCCTCCTCATTTCATTCTGGACCCCCAGGAAATAGTCTGAGCAACACCACAGAAAAGTCCCCGAGGGATTTTCAGAGGAAGGATGAATCACCAACCGCTACCTGAAGGGCTGCTTGGATCTATCTGGCAGTAGCATCTCTACAGAATTTTAATCAAGAGAGAAAGATCTCCTGGCCTTTTGAACATATAGGAAAAGAGGAGGCTATTACATTTCCATGAGTCCAGCCCACGAATCGGCTGGGGTCAGCAACCGCATCTGTTTAGCATATTGTGGGAAACCAGGCTGAAGTTTATTCCACAAACCACGAATGAGCGAGCCACGTCACAGGCATGCCAGAACAGAGCTCTCCTCAGGCCCAGGGTAAGGGTCGCACTGTGTGCATTAACTTGGGTTTTAGTGTAATGTGTGAACCCAGGCTATGGTCCAGAAAAGGTGGCACCTTGTGTTTTCTCTCTTTTCTGCATTCCTTCCCCAATGCAAGCAGCTTCCCACCCCCACCCCCCGAACTGTCCATTTGGATTAATTTGATTTTCTGCTTCACCTGCCAGAAAGGAATCTTGCAATATCTTAAAGGTGAATATAGATGTACTGAATGCACTGGAATGCCCAAGAACCTTGCTTGCTTCTCCTGAAATGGGCTAGCATAGCTACAGAAACTGATCTAAAGCAGGACAGTCTCGGTGTCTCTCTCTTGCCACTGCAAGGGGTCCCTTCCCTAATCAGCCGCTGGCTCCAAGGACTCTGTCCCACCTCTCTGTAACACTCTGAGTTTGCAAGGCTCAAATCAGGTAGCAAAATGGACAGGGGTTTTGCAGTGTGATTTTTCTGTTCCCCAGCACAGGGAGGGGAGCAGGAGAGAGCCAGTCCAACACAGTGGTTAAAGGGGCTGGACTAGAAGCTGAGAGACTCTGAGCTGTAATTTTACCGCAAGCACAGAAGTTTGGCCACAGTGCCTCTCTCCCAGCCCTAGGAAGAAAGTGAGGGCAAACCCCTTCAAAAAACATCCTCATTAAAACCACAGGGACTTGTCCCTGTGGTCACCAGGAGACAAGACTGACTCAAACAAGACAGCTGGTTTGGTGTAGTGGTTAAAGGCGCCAGATCAGAAGCTGGGAGACTGTGGCTGCTAGTCCCGCCTCGGGCACAAAGCCAGCTGGGTGACCTTGGGCCAGTCTCTCTCTCTCAGCCCAAGGAAGAAGAAGGGCAGGGCAAACTGCTGCTGGAAAACTTGCCACGAAAACTGCAGGGAATTGACATGTCTGTGGAGTCACTAGGAGATGAGAGTGACTCAAAGACACATATGTATGTGTACAAGCAAGAAGCCTCTGAGAAGCCAACCATTTCCACAGTTAAAACACCGCTCTCGCTCTGACTCTCATGGCCCCAAATCACATCACTGTCATTCGGGGCTGCCAAATTTCAGTGTCCCAGCTCTGGCTAAAAAACAGGCTGAAATATGGTGGGAAGGGAGACTGACATGCCCGTATCCCCCCCGCCCCATGGCCTTCCTACTGGAGAAGGCAGTGTGTGGTTGCCCCCATGCAGGTAAGAGCCCAAGCCAGCTTCATGTCACTGCATGGCTCTCTCCAAAGACTGTTGCTGAGTTTTCATCCTAAATGGAACTGAAAGTGAAAAACTATCAAATATGGAGAATAATGAATTTAATCTCAGTGTAATTTAATCTTTGTCCTGGATTACTGCCCCACATCCCAGCATACCATTCAAATCCCATCAGCGACCTTTAGCCCACCCCCATCAGCAAAGCGCCAACTATGTGGAATTCACGAGAAGTTCCAAATCCAAGAAGCCACGTTCTGGCCAAGCGCCATGTATGAATCCAGCCCTGGTACCTGCACCCGACACCTCTGGCGAGCCACTCAGAAGGATCCACAAGACTCTTGTCCTCCTCTCTAGGCAGAGAAGTTCAAATGTGCCAACCCAGCCAGATTCAATGGCCGCATTTGCACAGCACGTTTAATTAGCTACTGAATCAACCCATTTCCTGGGTTCACACAATACCCCAACTTGTAAATGGTCCAAACCATTTTTGTGATGTTTGTGGTGGTGGCGGTCTAATGTTTGCGGCATTAAACCACCACCATCACAAACATCGCCTAAGTAACTTTAACAGGGTTAAAATGAATCACCCAGCAATTACACCTGTTGTGTGGACTGAACCACTGAATGCTCATTTCTGAATACATTTTTTACTTCTACATCTGACTTCTGAAACTGCTGTGTACTTTTTGGAGGTGTGGCTTGCCAAGAGAAGGCAATCAGAAATGCATGACTACGTGTTATAACACTACTGATTATTATTCAGCCCTGTGACTTTCCTGTAGTGGCAAACTCTCACTACTGCAGGAGCAGCCAATTATAAACATTTTTTTTGCAGGCTGCCACTGAAGCTCTTTTTCAAACTTGCCTTGGGCCAGTCCTTCTTTCCACAAAGAGGGGGGAAATGGCAACCCACTTCCGAAAGGCTCCCAAGAAAACGACAGGGGCCTGTCTGCGTAGCTGCCAGGCGCTCTGCCCCAACCCTCTGTCCTTACTGCAGAATAAGGGATGAGCTAGTACGGAAGCCTGCCAAGGGCTGCTGTGCTGGTCAGCATTGCCAAGGGCAGGAGAAGGTCAATCTCCAAGAGGGAAATGCAAGCAGCCGTGAGCAGCTGGAGCTGGAGCCAGGCGGGCAGCCCCTTTGGTGCCAGGCTGCCATTGTGTGCTCGGATGCCTCGTCATCTGGCTCGTATATTTGCACCACCGCTGGTTTTCAAGGGAGGAAGAATAAGAACTTGTTTGTTGAGTTCGGCTCACTCCCGGGGAACTGGCTGGACTTGTTCTGCCAGAGCAGGAATGAGGGGAGATGGAGAATTCCAGAGGGCACAGAGAAGAGGAGGAAGAGGATGGGGAAGGGGTTGCTTATGCACATGGCTTAGGCATGGCTAAGAACATGAAGTGTGGTGCCCTGCCCAGAAAAAAGAAAAACTCAATGACAAGCAGGTCCCCCAGCATCTCCACCACTTCGAGAGCTGGAGGGCCAGGAAAGGGGGCTCACAGCAGCCTCCTGAATTGGCCAAGGGCTCCAGGATGTCCCCAGATAACTGCACCCATCTTTAGTTATTCAGTTCCAGCCACTGCTGCTGCTGCTGCTGTTCCTCCTTCCAACCTCAGCTTGTGTGCAGGCAGGCACATGAGCCATCCCAGCCACTGCTGGCAGCCTGCTTGCTGCTCACCCAGGAGCAGCCTCTGAGCTCAGCCCTCCACAACCTGGAGCCCTCCAGGTGTGCGGCAGCCACAGTTCCAAGGAAGCTGAAGGGGGCAGGTTCCAGTGGGATTAGGCTGCTTAACAGGGAATGCCAATCACACAAGCTGGTCTTTTTCCAGGCAAAGCTGGCCCCGTTACTGAACCCTGCCCTGCCCTTGATTTTTCTACACCACCACCCTGTGAGGTAGCATAGTCCAAGAGTCAGCAACCCTTTGAAAGCCACCCAGTTAGCTAGGAGTCATCTCTAGACCTTCTTCAACTGAGAGCCAGGGTGGAGCAGGGAGACTTTGGCTCAGGTCCAGCCTCCACCAAGGGGACAGTCCTTCTCCTTCAATCCAGCTTACCTCACTGTAGTTGAAGGGGAAACTGAATGAGGGAGCGCCGTGTGGGCCACCTTGAGCTCCTCGTAGAAAGGCAAGATATAAACCCAGCAAGAAAATGAACAAGCTACTTTCCAACACCTGGATGGAGCCATCTGACTTTCCAGCTTTTGAAGAAAAAAATTGATGTGTAAGGGAGAGGGACTTTCTTATATATTAAAAAATGCACATGCACACACACACACACACACACACACACAAATTCTAGGGATCCCCTGCCTACAGCTGGTGTCACTCTTATACTAAGCCAGGGTTTGCACTGACCTTGGAGAGCTGAAGAAGCTACTGGCCTGCACTGGCCTGGTTTGCACACAGCATGAAGCCATAAAGCATGATCTGTGGACACAGGCAACCAGTCCAAGTCACGATGACATCATAACGTCATTGTAGAAATCACAGAATTCATAGCATTTATTGGTTTGGATTTATCTCCTGTCTTTCCTCCAGCAGCTCAAGGTAGCTTCTCTGGGGACAAGAGTATGGTCAAAGAAGACAATCAAAACTCCATCTGCCCACCATCTTGACTTTTTTTTTTTATCATATCCCGTGGATACCTCTACCTGAGTATCTCCTTCCTCTTATCATACCAGCAACACCCACATAAGATAGGCTGGACTGAGAGAGGAATTTCCACAGCTGAGGGAGGGACTTGAACCCAAATCTCACTGATCTTAGCCCAAGACCTTCACCACTAGACCATGTGGGGATGATGTCATTGTGGCTTGTGCCAGTCCTCTCTGCCTGTATGGCTCTTTCAACACAAGCCCTCTTTCTCCCCAGCATGCTCCATTTTCCTTTCCTCCACGCAAACTGATTCCCTGATGCAGGCAGCAGAATTCATCCCAACAGCAGAGGAGCAAGAAGCCATGGAAAAGCCATCCAGCAGCCATGCGTCAGCTTCTACTAGCCTGAAGGTTCCCCTTACCTTTGGGAAAAGCCTTGGCTGGACCTGACGCCACCTTCTTTCCTAAATGGAAGTCATCATAAAGACTTCTGTCGCTGTTCCCATGCCCGTGAGATGGGATAGAAAGGAAAAAACACAGTGCTCTTTTAACCATGTCCGGTCAAGATGAAGCCAATATAGTTATACCCATGAAGCTTTCTGAGGTTTAGCCTTGGTTAGGTCATCTTTGTGTGTGTGTGTGTGTGTGTGTGTGTCCAAAGGCTGTATGAACCCCTTCAAGCTGGCCTGTTTAAAGTTAACTGTATTGGGCATTATCCAGAAAATGCCCTTTGCTGCCCCCAACTCATCGGATTGTTTGCTTGCTTGCTTGTTTATTAAAAAGGACTACCTCTTCTTCACCTCGATCAAATCCTACTTTCATTTGTTTGGTTTGGCCTTGCAGAGAGCCGGACTCCAGTCACTGTGATTGGAAAATTGCGATTTATCAGCAAGTTGAGGTGGGCTCCACAAATCATGCCACACTAACCCACCAACTGCAGAGGAAGAAAGGCAGATGCAAGGTGGCAGAAAAATCAACATGCAGCATGGTAGGAGTGCTATGAACTGGCAAAGGAGGCAGCAAGAAAGCTAATCATTAGTGAACCAAATTTGCTGCCGATGGCGGTGTCTCACACAGCCCTTTCTATATTTGCTCTGGCCCAGATCTACCTCCTCTGCACCAGCCCTACCTTTTACTCAAACCCTAAAGGAATCAACTCTGAACTAAATAGCTGCACAATCAACTCTGATACGTCACTCAGCCTGAAGTGGGAGCATATATTATTGTGGGCAAGCCTCTGCGTGTACACAGGAGATGTGCATGATAAGGAAAGGGTTGAAGGTTAGATACCAAAGTCATAAGAATGTGCCAGGACACAGAAAGCCACCCCTGCAGTGCTGCCAAGAAAATGGCAAAGCACCAGGAGCTGAGCTTCACATAAAGGCAATTTTGCTTTTTTTTATACTGTGCAATTTTTAATCTTCTCAGAAATGGCTCCAGCACCACCTTTCATGGACTATACCCATGTCAACTGATATGCAAAATACTACTGTGGGGAACATCTATCTTTCTACCCATCTACTGCTGGATCTATCCTTGATCCCACAGTTTGGCAGCTGGGTGAAAGCAAGTCACCGAAAAAGAACAGAAACAAAATCTAAGAAATTCAGGCGGTGCAACTTTGCTTTATGGAGTGGCCATTCATAAAACAATTATCGGGTATGAAACTGACTTCCTTTCACTGGCAGGCAACGTGATGAGAATGTCTCATTTAACAAGGACCATTTTCTGTTGTTCTTCAAAACTATCCGTCATCATAATCTTCCCCTTTTTCTTTTAATGCTTCTCCTCCAAACTTCTTTTCTATCTTCTCTCTCATATGGAGAAAAGTGACACTAAGGAAGGAGCAGAAAAGCCACGACAAATGAATTAAACTAAACTGGAGTTTTCTTTCACCCAATCAGGAGTGTCTCAGCCTCCTGACCATGGGAAGCCTCCACCACTATCTTGATAGTCAAAAATGTCTCTGTGCCCCACGACGGACCCCAGAAAATAGGAATCCTAGACTGGGGGCAGCCCAATGCTTCATTAGAAAGCTTGGCCCCGTCTAGAAAAAAGAACTAAACAGGTGTGGCTGTCTGGACCATTTTGAACTTCTCCTGGGACTGAAATGGACAATCCTTGAGATAAATGGGTGTCCACATTCACCTACTATGACACTCGTGATAAGCTCCCCAAATTGTGCAGGTACAACTCCTGTCGCCCATCCTTCATGGTCAATCATGACTGGGGGTGATGGAAGCTGAAGTTCAACACTCTTGGAGAGCACCATACCATCCCCAGAGACCAGCTATTCGGGCCTCTGCTTTGAAACAAGCTGGCAAATTATGCCTTTGAATTCAAGATGTGCCATACACTGGTGGAGGGAGCACCGGAGCCCTCCGGACGTGAGTTACCCCCACCCAGCTGTGGACTTCAACTCCCAGAATTCCCCGGGCAGTTTGGCCCCCAATTCCCCACCACCAGACGAAGCTCAGCTCAAGCGGCGTGGTCAGAACTGGGCCGGGAGGATGGAGAGGCAGCGGGAACGGAGCAGCGCGGGCGCGTCGCTGCGTTTCCCAAGAAGCCAACTCTCGACCCGGCCCAGGCCATGCCGGCCCGGCCCGGCCCAGCCCAGCCCAGCCGTCGCTGCCCTTTCGCCCGCGCGTCTTTCCGGTTATGAAAGTTTCCAACTTCAAGGCTCGAACGACGGGGAGGGCGAAGCGGGACCGTCCAGCATCCGCCTCCGGCCTTGGGCTTCGAGAAGGCGCCGGGGGCTGCATCTGAGCGCCCCACTCCAGGCTCGGCCCCCAGCGACCCCCTGCTCGGCGCGCAAAGGGGCAGCCGGACGAGGGCCGTTGCGTTCGCTCCCCCGGCAGAACAGCCCGCAGCATCGCCCTTCGCCGAGCATCCGCGCGGGAGGCAGAAGTTTCCCCGGGAGAGAACTCCGGAGGCTCCTCGCCGACTGGACTCGCTCGCGGCGGCG